CTTCATCAGTGCACTACAGAAACACCATTTGTCTCCGAGGTGAGAGGCACCTAGGCACTGAGTTTTCTTACCAGCAGACTGCTACTACAGCTTTTTACTGTTTTTCATCTACCTGAAAATGTGTACTAAAATTTGTTTGAACTCTAAGCACTAGAGTTTTCTTATTCAGCAGTCCAAAATAGAAGCCTACATGTGCTATCAGTGAATGAAATGCTTATGAAATTCCATGTTCCTAATGGTTTTCACCCTGTCAGAAAAGAAACAAGCTGTTGTGCAAGTGAGATTTAACACTCCAAAGCATGGCTCTTTTTCCCTGTATTATGCATATGTCTTTACATATATCTAAGTTCAAGAAGAGATACATCTTGTGCACACAGAACTGTGCCTAAATCCTTCTACATTTTGTTGTTAGTACTTGACTTCTAAAATATATAAAAAATTTCCTAGTTCTGTGTCAAACACACATGAATTAAAATCAGGACAACAAAGAGCCAAGTGTTAATATCTCATGTTCTGAATGAAGAGCTAGAGGGGCAAATCTTGCCACACAAACTCTTATTTTTCACTTCCAGTAAGTTCATAGTGGCCTATGATGGGGTCTTGTTTTGGTTTGTTTTTTTCTTCCCCTAAAACTTTGCTGTGATGCAGAGGACTTACCTCTCAGTCATATTTTTCAGATTCTCATCTCTCTCTCTGTTCTCATCAATGTCCAAATTTGTTCTTTTAGAACTCATTTTACATTCATACTTTTTTCAGGTTTACTCAAGATCTCATCCAAGAGTACATCCATTTGCTTAAGAAATATTTGGTTTCACTTCACTCAAGACTAATACAGAAAAGCAAGCAAGCACAGCAACTAGCAGTGTCTTAACTTTGGGGGAAAAAAGGTCTATTATTATTTGCTTCTTATTTAGCAGAAAGGAGACAGCTTAAAAATCATTGGAAATGTAAAATCAACAGGTTGGATAGTTCTTCCCTTTGTTAGAAATGACTGAAGTTGGGACAGATCACAACTGCACCTCTGGAAAAAAGAAATTATGAAGGTAGAAAGAGGGCACTTTTCTTGGACTCCTGAATATTAAATTCTTCAAGGTTTCTTGTTCTTTGGGATTAGTTTTGTGTTGGGGGTTTTTTGTTTGGTTGGGTTGGTTGTTCTTCTCCAAGAGGGAGGGTGGCAGGTGTATGTTAATGCTTCAGAGAGTCCTGATGCAAATAGGAACTTCAGGGCAACACCCAGTGTTGTGAAATTAACACAACACAGAAACGTCCAGACTTTTTTCCATATGTAGCTTTGGATATTTTAAAGTGACATGATTTGGGAGGGAAGTAAATGTGATTACCAGGCATCCCATTAGAAAATCTGAATTCTAGACAGGTTACTGTGATTCAGCTGAAGAACTGTATTATTTTACAGCCATAAACTTAACATGGCCTGAACCATGATAACATGTATTGGTTTGATATCACATTATTCAATGCTAAATGTGTCTTATTAAAGCTCATTAAATAAGATTAGCATGCATGTAATGGAAGATTACACTAACATCATCCTGCTTTCAAGCATGATTTTAAAATTGTAAATTACAGATAAATTCTAAGCAGAGAATCTTAAGTATATAAAAACACAGTATACTGGCATTAGAGCATCCAAGCCTGAGCAACATCTCCAAAAAGCTGTCCCGGCAGCAGTCATCATGTTTTTCCTGGAGATTGGCTGGGATGTCAAATACATAGGGGTATCAAAGCCCTATGCTACAGCACTGCTTGAGAACTGCTAGAGTTACAATGAATAATGCACTTTCAAGCGCCAAAGTTTAGAGAAATGCAGAAAGTAAAACTAACTAATGAAGTGTAAAGTGCATACTGTATTATTTAAAGGCTATTAACTAAAAATTGTTGTGACACCACCCTGGCAAGGAGGCGGCAGGATCTCTTTATACTGAATTTGTTCTTACATAATAATTAACGTTCACTTTGATTACTCAACTTGTCAGCACGTAATATTTTTATTTCAACATTCTTGTAATGCTAATAATGAATATCTTACACCTGCTACTTTTCCTCTACACTTGACTGCATGTGACTAATTGTGAGCTAAGAACACAGTAAACCAAATCTGGCCTGCTAAAATGAATGGGAAGCAAAACATCCTCACCTGTCTGTGGATAAGGTCAATCTAGAAGTTAACCTTTCTTTCTACATTGTCTACCCATTATGTAATTTTTTTTTTTTTTTACCAACTGAAAAATCATGTATAAAATATCTCTAGTCACATAATTCAATATAAAAATATGCATGGGCTTGGCCTGAAAAGAGAGGGCATACTCCCAAAGTAGTGTCCATATGGTAAGTGCCAGCTGCCTGGCTATGTTCTACAATATTATTATTATTTACTGACTTACTTTCAGAAAATGTGTTCTACAATTTGCCACAGTCACTGACAAATGTGTTCTAAATATAAGAAAATTGCTACATAAACTACTCCTGGAGCTTGATAACACAAAAACTAAACTTTGCCTGCAGTAAAGGAACACAAATATTTGTCTTTATGTCAATTTTTCAAAATAAATGCTCCTGAAATAACGTCGTAAGGATCTCTGTTTTGGTGCAACTGCACCACAGAATATGAAATCATAGTAACATTGAAAAGAAAGTTAAGTATTTATAGGCTAATACAGATGAACTCTGATCATTAATTTTTGTTTAATAATTTGCTGCCATAAAGTTAGATTTGAAATCTACCATCACAAGGTAGTGGAAGACAAAAGGAACACCCTGCAAAAGCTCTCTGATCCCTTATTAATTCTGCATTATATGCATGTAAGGGACATAGAGGTTGGATAATATGTACTACTGAACTGTCTGCAGCTCTGATAATACACCAGAATGGAATTAGAGTTTATCTATTTAATCCACTCATTTCTCATCATTCTGGTTGAGAAGCACACCCTCACATTTAACACATGAACTGATGTAAAAAATACCTGCATCTCATCATTATTTATACACTTCTGTACATCTACTTCAGACCAGCCCATGAGAGGTCATAAGGGTCACTTCTACCCATAGGACTATTTAGAATACAGCATTCCTATGTGATAAAATTGGAAATAAACAATGAGGTTAGTTCTCACTGTGATGTTTATATCATATTAGGAAGAATGTAGGAGAGATTTTAATGGATAACATATACTGTATTAAAAAAAAATTGCTCATTCAGTATTACCAATAACAAATTATCTACTTTGTCTACTTAAATTGCAAAATCATAGAGACTGAATTTTTCTGTTCTGTATCTGTGTGCAGACTATGTTTGGGACCTAAAAGACTGACCAAACCTTCACATGGAACAGCAACAGAAATGCTAGCAGTATCATGCAACGTCTAGTAAGATGCGAGCACATTTCAAGCTTTTGATAAAACATAAACAGATTACTGTGAATGAAAATTCAAATATTTTCAAATCCCTAACTTAAAAATTAAGTCATATTGTCACTGAAAAGTAATGATTTCTCTGCTAAGCCAAAGCATCCAAAATTCATGAGCCTCAGATATCCTGGTGTACGAGTTAGATGATTTTTTTTTTTTTTTTAAGGAAAAATCAAGATTCCTTATCAGTTCCCTATAACTAAATATTCAGCTTGTACAAAAATAATTTCTTAATGTAAGATTTAGGATAAAAGCATGAGAATTGTGAAAGTTGAGGCAGCACTAGTTAAATTCTGTGTTCTAAATATTTCCATTTTATCAAGAGGAAAATATCCTTGGAGAGGATCAGTGTTCAATCCAATAGCCAGTCACTCCTGGAAACAATAATCCTTTTTTTTTATTTTTTTTTAAATTCAGACACAGCTTCTGATTGCAGTAAAAAACAAGAGAGAATTCAATACAGCAAATACTAACTCCAAAACCTTTAAATACTGGGAAATATCCTAAAAATATTTTGCTTAAAATGCTATACAGAAATTTTTTCTTTATTAAGTAACAAAAACAGAGCTTCTTCATATCCATCCATTTAATCTAGAACAATCACCATTATTATTATTACTACTATATTTCTCCTGAAGCACTCGATATTATCTACTATTAGAAACATTTTTTTAGTTGAAGTACATGATGACAGCATGACAGAATACAATAGCTCCTCCCGTACTACTGAATTGCATGCCGTTGCTGACAAAAGTGGGTTCATCAAGAATACACCTTTGCTTCTACTAGAGAGGATTCAGTTGCAAATACTGGCCAAATGTTTTTCTACTGAAAGTTTTAAGAGAGGATGCCAAACAAATTTGTTTTCAGCATTATGAAGTTCTCCATCTCACAAGTTCCACTTGAGTTCTGTACTACTTCAGTCCCATGGTTTCTGGACTTCAGCCTGATCAGCACAAAAATATTTTCTCCAAAAAAAGACTGGGTAAACCAACATTGACGTTTTTTAATTACTATTCTGACTCCAAGAAAATATGACAGAAAAAACATGGGGGTTCAGGAATACAAAAGGAAGGTTTGATTATGGTCTTAAAATACATAAAATAGTGTTGCAATAAGGAAAAACATACAACATTACATTTTTTTATCGGGGTATGTTACACCTATGCCTAGATGCGTGTGAAGCATGCCCTCAATGGTCAGCTGGAAAACCTGACTTAACATGTTTATCCTACCCCAAATATGGGACATGCAACACTATGTTCCTTAATCAAAACTCTGCCTTGGTGTTAGTTGCAGACAGACTTAAACTGGAGCTCTGTTATATTGTGGAGCACTCTGGGTACTGTGCTTCTTTGGGTACTCCTGTTTCATGTTGCTTAGAATTTGCTACCATTTTGTTTTTTCTATCTTATGATATACCAGAATTGCTGTAGGCTGCAGTCTGCAATATATACTTTAGTCAAAACAAATAAATGTTGATTTGTGTTACAATACAGAATTTTAATTTCCAAGAGCTCAAACTGACTGGAACAATGAAAGAATAATTTAGTTCTTTATTTAATTCTTACCTGAGAAGAATATGTGTGACCATCTGATCCACAAACAGGATTGGTATAAACTACTGGACACTGCTTGCAGTTTGATGAAATGGGACCACCCCTCCACTGTTTATGGCCTAAACCAGCCTCTTTCATACTGTAAGTAAACAAAAAGTATGTAATTCTGATAAGCAGTAGTAAAAATAAAACATATTCAGGGTATTTTAATGAGCCTTTACAAACAGTAAGTCATACAGAATTTCAGCCATAAGGTTTTCTCCTAAGAAAAGAACTGTCACAGCCTTTGGTGTACGCTCACTCACCTTTGTACCTTACTCACTGTAGTGATACTTGATACCGGAGTATTATTCTACTAAGACATCTTAGTAGACAAAGATGATTAAGATGATGCTTTGGAGACTCTTGCACTTATTCATTAGTGAAAGACACCTGACTTGTGTGGTATTTAGATGTTTTTACTAAATAGTATGAATGGACCCGTTTTACTAATATTGGTGTTTAAGTAGGTAACTTTTAAGTATTAGAAAATTACATCATAAATGCTTCTACAGAAACAGGTAGCTGGTCCTTCAGAGCACTGTTTGCCCCACTTTGACCACTGCCTTTCACAGCTTACATTTAAAAAAATTCAGGCTCTAGCACCCAATGTGAAGTTCAAAGAAAAAAAAAAAAAAAGGGTAATCCACTGGAGTACAGAATCGATCTGCATAGAAGTAGATGTGTGTGCTTATACATAGAAATACAGTTAGATGGATCATTTTAACCCAGAAAAAAGCTACACTGGGTCAGACTAAAAGTCTAAAATAAGTTACTGATGTTTCCTCAGAAAACTCTCCTACCCTTCAGTAATTTGTGGCATATGGCCATCCTCAAACATATTTTCTCTCTGTAGCTTTGAATTAATTTTTATTCATGATTTTTTTCCAAATGCTTTTTGCAGCTGTGAAAGCATTTAGAAGCCATTTTATCCTGAAACAGCTGTTTTATGAGTTGCCTGATCCCCAGACTGACCTACAATATCCTTCATATATTAATGACTTCCATATAAATAAGAAAATAGAACCATAATGCATGATTTTAATACTGTGTTTTCTGCTTGCAATCTTAATGAGGAATCTAGAAATGATTTTGCTTAGAATATAGCAAAGTCAAAAATGTTCAAACTTATAAAAAACTCAAATAAAATCTTCTTTAATGAAGCAGAACTCTTTCTGCTTGGTTCACCTACAGATAATCAAGAACTATTTTGCTAATTAGTCACAAATCACTGTTTAAGAACAACTTGCCTGGAGTAATAAAAATAAATGAAATTAGAGAAAATAAACTCGTCATCCTCTGGTTTTATGACGTGCAGATTAAAAGGCTAAAGCCATGGAAGTTATACAAGCTTACATTTAGATAATGTTGTGTGGCAAAACTTTGAACTGCACAGATTTTTTACAGTGTAAACAGGAACCTGAAATGTACACATAAATTACCAGTTACTGCTGAAAAAGCCAGTAAGAGCTTCAATTCCATGAATTATAATGAGTGGTAAAATATTCATACAGGAAGTTTTTATATCCATCAGTAAGTATAAAAAAGGAAACAAATCATATCTATTATAGTAAAGAAAAGTAAAATTAAACTTTATCTTTGCTTATGTATAATGCAGAGTCTGACTATTGCCACTCCTCTCACTTGACAGTTTTCCAATCACCCACGAGCTCCAGTGTAATTAGATTATTTGGATGGTTGCATCTTTCCCTTCCTTCTTGTTACTTTTATAGCTTGCAATTTTCCAGAAGTGTCCTAGTAGCCAGAGGTTATTGACAGGACCAGAGACCTAACTATCAGCCTGATGAAATTTCTGTTTATGTGAGATACAGTAACTTCAAAACACTGCATAAATCGGGGGCAAAAGTTCCAGATATCAACTGGGAGAAGCCCACTGGTATGAGCAAAAAACAGGAATTGGAAGCAGGATTTGAGACACACAGGGGCTGTTGGGTATAGATGTTTAAAATGTGACACAGAAAGGACTAGTAGTGATTACAGGGTTTTGGCAAATCCACACTCTTGTACATGACCTCAATTAATCTTAAAAACAAGAAAAGATGGGGTAGGGCAGGGAAGGAAAAAAAAAAAAAGAAGCCCTTTCAGATGGAGGAAAGCCTGTAAGTATAAGGAAGGAAAAGACAATGATGTGTCTCAGGAAGGACCACAATGTAGATGGACACAAGAACAAATTTAGGACACAGATATCGCAGGTCTGTGACAACCAGTTGAGATGCATGAAGAAAATGGAAAACATTTTATGTAGTCAGATAGATGACCTTAACTAACCTCTACTTTACTAGGCTTTTAAATGCAGGCGTTTAAAAGGTGTATTTGTTAAGGGTGAAGAGTGTCAAGTTTCCCATTATGCACAGAACTCACCTGAAACCTTCAGCAGATCATTCTTCTCAGAATCTTGGTTTCTATATAACTAATATAATTCTCAGGATCTTGGTTTCCTATATAATTGTCTACAAAACTGAACTATCTATATTTTTCTATGCTTGGAATAGAGGTATGATAATAAATAAGCTACAAATAATGATACTTTGAACGTATCAATCTAGAGAAACCTGATCATAAAAATTATTTGGATGAACATGTGTTCGGAAGTTTTAGTACAATGATGCAGAAAGTATATTCTGTATTATCAGAGCTGCTGAACAGCTATTTTTTGATTGTCAGTCACTGAGAGGACACACAAATATGAGAAGTCAATTAAAAAAAAATTATACTAGTTCTGGTAGATATGTACATGCCATTAAACACATTAATGTGTTTCACTTTAGAACTCAAACATTTCCTTTCACCATAATTTATTGAATCAGATTTGTTCCTGTTCACTATTTCTTTGTTATCAGGTGTTGTGGTTTGGTTTTTTTTTTTTACAGCTAGGCAATGAGAGTACATAAAAACTACTGATATGGAACTAATTGAGAAACTACTGTGATCATACAAGTCATCTTGAATTAAGCCCATTGGTGCATGTCCACAACTTTGTGAAGTAAGATACAGAGAGACTGCTTAACTACAGTTTAAATTTGTTACCTTTTACCTGAGATATGCAAATAAAGCAAGATATTTGTAGATGTTAAAATGTTAGAGAGAAAAGAAAACAGTCAACAAAGAAATCTGTTACTTCACTACAAGAAATCACTTTCCTTGTATTTATTATTTTTCAATTTGATATGCAAGAAAACATACCAGATCACTGTAACTTGCAGTTACTAAAATTCTGAGCCTTAATTTTGTGATTCCTGTGACATCGCTATAAATGTTCTTGCACTTGTTAATATTTTGTCACACTAAATATTTTATGCCATGTAAGAGTCAACCTCTTCCAATGACCAATTTTATACTTCTAAATTTCCTAAATAGAGCTTTGAGATTCATCTAGTAATAAAATAACTATTACTGAATACACAACCTCTGCCTTATCTGAGATTGTTGACATCTAAAGGGTAAAATTAAATATATGGGTTTAATTTACCAGCAAAGCTTGTGATTGCATTAATTTACATACACCAAATTGTGCATATGCTTTTAGACTGCATATGCAACTGCATGCCTAGAAACATAATTAGCCAATCTGCCCAATTACTCTAGCCTATGTACCTGTTTGCATACATAAACTTACCTTCCTGTATACACAGTGATCGTGCCTGCAAATACTGAGAATGCGTAATGTAACCCACTGAAAATTTAGCTGCAAGCAACTCTTCAGCAACTTGACTTATTTAATGATATCTATAAAATGCATGAATGCCCAATTCACTTGAAAAATTGTATTTTACAGCTAGATTTGAGAATCTTCTAACTGAGGTCTTCAAATACAGACTAACAGAAACAAATCTGACTTTCCAAAAACTCTTTAAAAGAAATATTGTAAATCTTCCCTGATAATTACATTTGCATTTTTAAGACTTTTTAGAATTATTCCAATTTAGAGATTGCCTGATTATGTTTTGCCATGGCCTTTGGGGGACATAATCAGGCTGTGTCAGATCAACATATTCAGAAAAAAAACTACTTGTATCACAAAATATAATGTGCTGTCATTAGAGTTGACAGGATTTCCATCAAAGTTCCCTTTTCATGTGGAAGCATCCTGGAAGAAAACTATAGCTGTCAATACATATTTCTTTCAAATGTCAAAAGAAACCACGACATTATCGCCTCTCTCTCTCTCTGTCTATATTATTTTGACTTCTTTATTTATTTTGAACTAATCCTAACAAATACCAGAAAAATTTGGTTTATGAAACTAATAATAATTTACTAAATCCAAGACAAGTAAAGCAAAGGTTAAATTAAATATGGGAATCAAAGCAATACATTTCAGCAACTTTAACTTAATGGTGTTGACAAGATGTTTTTATTTATTGATGGACCATCATAATTTTTAGCAGCTGCCAGTGAGATTAAATAAATTCAGCTATTATTTTTCCCCAGCATCTGCATCCAATACATTAGAAAATTATGTATGATCTATTTTTTTGGCAGGCTCACTAGGCTTACATACTCAGTATTATTTCAGAATTTCGAATAATATCTGTGCATGTAAAAAGAAAATGCTATTTACATATTTGCACCAGAGAAGGAAAACAAGTAGACATCTTGAAGATACAAATTCTTGCTACATGTATTCTTGCTACATTCCACCTACATGTATTATTAAAAAGATAGGTTTACACTTTAAGGTAGTTTCTTGCCTTGTCATGCAGCTCTCATTTTCAGTACCATTCTGCCTACTTTTGTCAGGCAAAGAAACCAGTATTTTATTCTAAATATTTTTGTTATAAATTAAAATTGAAACAAAACAGCCCTATATATTAAAAAAAACTCCACAAACAAACCAAACAAACCAAACCAAAGCAACAAATAAAAAACCCACACAAAAAACCTGCTTTAAATAATGCTGCTAAAATTTCCTGGAATAGCATTTGCTCCATTTTGATTGAGTGAAGTTAGCTATTATAACATTTTCATGAGACTGAAAAGCAAAGAACGCACAGCAACACAGAAATGAGTTTTCTCATTATTTAACTTACCTGGAGCTGCTTGAGAGCTGAAAGGGACCTAATATATGAAGAGCTGAATGC